TTAAAAAAAACAAAAAAAAAAAAAAAAAAAAAGTAGCAGAACTGTGCAAGAATTATTAATACAGGAGTCCATTTATAGGTGAAAAATTACATAAGAAAATAAAATACATGTCTTATTGATTCATTCAGTCCGAAAACTGGAAATCAAACTATTGTGATTTTACTAAATTCTCTTAACAATTATTATACACTGCCACCAATCAGCATATGCTCTATCAGTCATGAATGCTACATTTCTAAAACTACAGCAATTACATTCAGAAAAGAAAAAAAATAAAAGAGAATATGATGTATTTGGTTTTCTTGGACACAGCAAATCGGTGCCTAGGCATTAATCTCCACCAACAACAAAACTTCCTCAGTGCAGGAAACAACGTTCCTACTTTTCCTCCTAATATGGCATCATCCTTGACACATGAAACACGGTGATCGTACAACGAACACAGAGAAATGCTAAGGAACAATCACAAGAATCATAATGAACAAGAATTCAAAGACAATATCGCATCACATGATTAAAAGAATCAGTCACTCAACAGCCTTCTTCCCGCCAGAATAGTAATTCAGGTACCACCGCACGAATTTCTTCAAACCACTCTGCAGATCCGTGGTGGGCTTGTACCCAAGCTCCCTCTGCGCATAGCTAATATTGGCATGAGTAAACTGCACATCCCCATTCCGTGGCAACTTCATTATGTTCCTCTTGGCCTTAACCTTCAACAGCCTCTCCAAAATGCTCACCAGATCGCTAACCGGCACGGGCGAAGTATTCCCCAAATTGAACACCCTCAACTGCGCCGGCCCCCTCTTCTTCCCTCCACTCCCTGTGCTCTTCTCTGCCGTATCCAAAGCCCCCAAGCATCCCCTCACAATATCATCAATGTAAGTAAAATCCCTTGCAACAGTGCCATGATTGGCAGCCTCAAATATGGAGATGGCCTTCCCCTTCAAAATATCCCTAGTGAAGAAGAAGTAAGCCATATCAGGCCTACCCCAAGGGCCATAAACAGTGAAGAATCTCAATCCAGTCAATGAAAGGCCATATATATGGTTATAAGTGTGAGCAATCTCCTCACCAGCCTTCTTAGTGGCAGCATACAAACTAGCAGGCTGATCAGTCCTATCCCTCTCAGAAAATGGAACCTTAGTGTTAAGTCCATAAACTGAGCTACTAGAGGCCCAAACAATAGCAGGTTGGGGATTCACACTCTTACAAACCTCAAGCAAATTCACAAAACCAGCAATGTTACTATGCACATAAGATCCAGGATTCTCCATAGCATACCTCACACCAGCCTGAGCAGCCAAGTGCATCACATGAGTGAAAGGCACAACCTCGAAAAGCTTTCTCAAGAGTGCTTCATCATTGATATCACCCTCCACCACGTACACGCCAGTGCGCTCTAGAAGTGACTGGCGTGCACGCTTCAGCGAAGGGTCGTAATAGTCATTGAAATTGTCAATTCCCAGCACCCCGTCACCGCGGCGCTTTAACGCCGCCGAGACATGGGTGCCGACGAAGCCGGCGGCTCCGGTGACCAACACGGCGTACCCGTTTCGGGAACGGATCTGGGCGGATGCTCGGACCCGTTTCTCCCAGACGGGACCGCCCCAGTTGTAGTTCCTCAGGGACCGCCGAGAGAGGTCCGCCGCCGCCGGAGACGACGCCGGAGACCGGAAAAAGAAGATCAAGATTGCGGCCAAGAAGACGAAGGACCACACGGCGAGCTTCGCCAGCGACATGTGCCACCGCACGCGGTTGAAGTACGAGGCTTTCTCCATCTTGAACTTCCCTGGGGTCGAAGGGGCACTGTCTATGTGCGACATTTGCTTCAGCTGGGACATTTTCTCGGGGAAATGTCGGATTTTGAAGGGTGCCCACGATTTCTCTTCCTCGGTTTCGTCGAATTGCGAGGCCGATTTCGGTTTCTGGGATTGGGTTCGAGGTTCCCCCAAATTGTTGAGTGTCTAGGGTTTACTCGTGAGTGTTATAATGGTGGTTTGGTTTGATATGGTTCTGTTTGTTTGTGAGATGGGGAAAGTGATGGAGAGAACAGGAAAAAATAAAAAGGGAGGCTTGGTGAGTTGTTGTTTTTTTTTTTTTTCCTTTAAAATAAAAAGAAAAGGAAATATTTGTGCGTGGGAATCTTCTTGTTTCTTGGAGGAATGGGTTGGAGGTGCTGGCCCTCTTTTGGGTTTATAGTTTTACAGGGAAAAAGGTTTCAAGATTTAAAGAATGATAATTGCATCATGGAGAGAGAGTGGGGTAGGGATTTGGGACATTCTGAGAAAATGTGAATGAAGAAGAAGAAGATGGGGTTTGGGATTAAGAATGATAATTGTATTTATGTTGTGAAGTGTCTTCTCCCTTTGTCTCAGAAAGAACAAAAGGTTTTCATTGAAGAAATGCAATGCAAGTGGGTGGGTAGTAAAAGATGCAACATGGTGATTTGATTGGCTGGAGATCCTTGGATTTTGGGGTTTTTTTTAAGTAGATTTATAGAAGCTCATAGTTTGAGGATATTTTTTGTGTGGAGGAAACTTCCTTTTGGTTATGGGGAGGAGGGTTTTTCAGTGTGAAATTTATTAAGGGAACATAATAATGGGTGGTTTGTTGAATGTGAAAATGCAATGGAGGAGATTTAGAGGCTTTTTGCTATAAAGGGACTCCCTATTCTCTACCGTGGGAAGGCGTGTGAGATTCCTGTCAGTTTGAATTTTGATCGTTTTAATTCAGAGAATTGAAAAAAAAGATTGGAGTTAAAAGGTTTAATTATAGAGTTTAAGACCGCAATTATTGATTTCTGAAATTAGAAATCTCAATTAAGTTTTTAGAGAGTCAAACCGCAACTCCTTTTTACTAATTTGGGCTGAAAATCTTACTAAAATGTGCCTTAAATAAAGTAATTGAGTAAGAGATAGTAAAACAACCCTCCTAAATTTAACAGTCAAAACTATCTAAATTCCTTTCCAAAAAAAAAAATTTATCTAAATTCATAGTACCATATTAATACGATATATATGCACTAGAAGATGGAAAAAAAACATGGTTGGTTAGATTTACTTAATTATATGCATTAGTTTATTTGTTTTTAATGCGGGCTTGAGTGGTTTTGGAGGAAAATTATTTTCACTTAGTTGGTTTCAAATAATTCATTTGCCCATTAATTACATGCATTTCTTATAATTAAAGTAAACGCTGGCCATGAAGTGTATATGATACTTTGATTTAACTTTTCCGTCAAGAGACCTATTGATTTCCCTTTACATCGAATTCTACTACGTCAATAGGTCACTTATAAGGCTCAGTAATGTACTATTATAAAGTAAAATTCCTTAATTTCTATGACATATCTCTTCTTAGAAGTTGAAGCCCATTTTAAAGCATTGCCATTCAATACAAGGAAAAAGTTCAATCCTATATATTTTGATTCTTACTTTTCTCCCCCCTTTTCTTACCATGCTTAATGTGTAATAGTTAAGTAGTTATGGTTGAATTTGTGGAATCTACTAGTATTAGTAATATCCTTGTCTTTCTCTTCTGTACAGTGTTCCCTAAAGAATAAAGATCATGGCAATCCCAGACAAATTTTAAAATAAGCACTTTACAATAATACAAAAAAACGTACAATCAAAGCATGAAACAATCCTGACATCAGATCATGTTAATGACAAGGCTCTACATAACTCTGTAAATATAAATTCAATGAAACTCACAAAGAATGTACTATATGTAATTACAATTTAATGGAACCAATGTAATATTATTGTCTACTTGTTTTTGTGTGCGCGCGTGCTAAATAGAGGGGTCCCAGAAAGGAAAGAGAGTGCATTGAAAGAGCAATTTGAAAGTGTAAACAAACTTGAAAATGAAGGCAAAAGCATCTTCCAAAGAATCCTTATGGTACAATTTATGTTAGGGCAGCAAAGTATCATGTGCTCATGTACACGCAAGGACTAGTGTGGAACAATCACAGGATCAGGACAAGATTGCTTTGTTCACAAGGTCTTTCAGGTTTTAAGACTAGTATTCCAAGGATAGAGTAATTCTTAAGAAAAAAATAAATTGCACTTTTGTTTTGACCATCTAGTGTCACCACCATCCTCGTGCATCACTCGTTAATATAATATAAATCATGTTATATATGTGTATTATATATAATAATGTGTCTAAACATCACCTTCTTTTGGGATCTAGAGGCCGAGTCTAAGGATTGAAGTGTTAGTTCGTTGTTGAAGAGTTTCAAAAGCTTAAATTTCAATCTCTAGAATTTTCTTGGCACTTATTTCTCAACATAATATCGTAATCGTCACTATCAGAAGCCAACAAACAACACATGAAAGGGTAGTGAAAACAGAACAAAATTTAAAAGCGAAAAGGGTGGTGGTGGTGGTACTCTTTTTAATTAGTTGTTTTCTCTTTCTCTCTTTTTAGGTAAGGGACAAAAATCAATATCCCACATGAGCCAGTACCCTTTCCCATGTGCAATCTGATATTAAACAGCATTAAAAAAAGAGAAAAATGCACCTCCATTATGGTTTTCCTTCTGTTAATCTTTATATCATCATTTTCCATGAATTAAAAGAATTAACATAAGCTGGACATTCTACATATTTTATTATTAAACCAGACTGTATTGTAAAATATTTAGTACATGTCACATGCATTTAGTAAAATATCCCCACTCTGGTATTACAAAGAAATTTCCATAGATATGCAATAATATATACATGCATTTAGTAATTGGCCAAGTGGATCGGAGCAATGAACCTCACCAGTCACCGTAAGATATGCAATAATTTATACATCTATGCAGTCTTTGCCGCACAGCATTTATAATAGTCAAAATTCTTGGCCTCAATGAATAAAGCATATGAACAATGAAGCCTGTGGCAAATTTCATGTGACTTTCACATTTGATTTAACTTGCAATTGCCAAGAATATGAACTTTCTTTATTGTCAAAAAAATGAAAGAAAATTTTTAATAAAAAAAAAAAAAAGGACATCATCAAGGACCAAGACTCTCAAGTGGGACTGTGGCATAGGACCATTTGGTCCCTAAGGCCATGGTCATACATTTTTCAATCACTGCCCCATTTGCTAGCTAGACTCTTTTCTGTTCACATATTATCTGCCATGTTTGACTTAAATAATAAACAAAAAAAGGCAAGGTCCCATCTCAATAGATATGGAATCAAATGCAAATATGAAACGTACACCACCACTTATAGAGTAACAGAGCCAAGTCGGTATACTATTGAAAATTAAATTACTTTGATACAACAAAACCGATAGCTCTTTTCAACAATACAAATTATCTCAAGTCCTTACAAGGGAATGTTTAGAAACTAAAACAAGCCACATACTCACTACTTTGTGAGTATTTTATCTCTCTCTTATCTACTGAATGTACAAGAATGTTCAATGCTTGGTGAACCTCTCAAGGACTTCAAAGTAATCAGGAAATGTCTTCCTGGTGCAGCCAGGATCCTTGATGGTTACTGGAACATCCCCACAAGCAGCAAGAGAGAATGACATGGCCATTCTATGGTCATCATATGTGTCTATAGCTGTGACATTCAATTTCTCAGGTGGAGTAATCACACAGTAATCAGGACCTTCTTCAACCGTCGCTCCCAGCTGAAATGTCAAGACGGCAAGTCAGTGAGCTGTAAAAAGTCCAGTAACATAGAAATCATAAAGGAAGCAGCAAGAAACTCACCTTTCTGAGTTCTGTGCAGATTGCTATCATCCTCTCTGTCTCTTTAACTCTCCAACTTGCCACTGAAAGATAGAAGAAATAAAGAGTAAATGGGTGTCTGAACAGAAAACAAGTTTGCTACAGGATATAGTAGATAGTTCAAATGTATAAGAACTTAAGGAATGGCATAAAATGCACCTAATTCATGCTTACAAGAGAAAAGCTAACCCCTTATTTCTGCTCCCTTTTTGGGTACAACTAAAACCTTTCAATTATTAGAAAGATTAAAAAAAGAAAAAGAAACACAAAACAAGAAACATCCAAGTTCCTTAGGTTAAATTTCCCTCCATAGAAAGATCATGTCTAGTTTAGACACTCTGATACGATACAACTATCACAAAAACTTGAGTTGATAGGTGAACCCCATGAATGATTCTATTATATATTCCACACATGCCCCCACCCCCCACCCCTCCCCGAGCCTGAAATGTGAATATGCACAGGCCCACCTACCTTATACTTTAATTCAACTGTTTATTTGAAGTAGGCCAAAATGAATTTTACTGGAAGAACTGGGAGCAGCAAGGATTGAACTCAAAGCCCACCTATCATAGAAACTCTACTACCACATCATCATCCAACTATCCCCAAAGCTTAAGCTATTAGATGAAGATACATAACTGGTTTTGTACCATAATCTCATGTTCTAACATATTTAAGATGCCATAAAAGAACCATGTGCAATATGCACTCTGGTGCCTTTCATGATTAAGAAAAATACTAATTAAGCATTCAAAAATCAAGCAAGGCACAGTTGTGTAACCCACACCAGAAAATACTAAGGCTAAGTCATTGAAAAATAGCATCCAAACCAAAAAAAAAATCCAGACAAATAAAAAACAAATTCAGAATATTGTATGGAAAAAATACATATAATTATATAATGGGGGAAAATAATATATAAATAAAAGGTGTTATATGATGTAGCCAAACTAGCTTTGATAATTCCAGCATCATTTTTGAAGATCGGATCATTGGATAATAATATAAATTAAAAAAACAAGAACATAACTTAAGAGGTGATAGCATAATGCACTTCAAACAAGGGTCATTAAAATACAATGTTGAAATCTTACAAGTAGCCTTTTGAAATTTTATTTAAAAATGTGGGGATTCAATCCAATCTGGGTGGGTCAAAAGGTCACACAAGTTTAACCAGTTTGCTGGAAAAAACTGTCATGAGTAAGGGCAGGACCATCCCACAGACTAAGTGCTCCAGGTTGTACAACTATGAAACAGTTTAAAGGAACAACATAGATGTCCCCACACCACACTCCATAGAAAAAGAAAAGGCATCCACAAAAGAAGTTTTTAAGCTAAAAATTCAAAGATTTCACATGGTTAGTGGCCCAATTTTAATATAAGTGTAATTATAATAATTTCATTAATCACACAATAACAAAAAAATGAGTGAAAACAAGCTCTTGAGCACAAATAAACAGCTAAATCATACCATCTCTTATAGCAGTGGGACCATTAGCAAATAGTGCAACAACAGCAAGTGTCATGGCAACATCTGGCATCTTGTTCATGTTGACATCAACGCCTTGTAAGACTTTTCGACCAGAAGAATCTCGTGGTGGTCCAGTAACAGTGACACTGGTCTCTGTCCATGTAACTTTAGCTCCCATCTTTTCAAGGACTTCAGCAAATTTTACATCTCCCTTTAAAAGAAGGAAAAATTTAAACATAAGCATAAATTAAAAAAAAAATAGTAAAATTTACTTGGGCTGGCCATAGTCTTCACATATCAGTAATTATTCACACCATCAACCACTTCTTAATAATCATATAAACTAACCAACCCAGTTCTAATTTAGTATTGCAAAACAATACAATTTGATAATTAATCAATTAAGACTACACTTCACAATA